AAGGAAACGGCAGAAGATGTCGCGAACATAATGACATGCATAGAAGAAGCAGACATTGAGCTGTCACAGAAAGAAAGTTTCAGAATGATGCTTGGAGTCAAACAGGATATGAGGGAAACAATACAGAAAAAGGATGAAATGACAGAGGACATAAAGGCCATACACCAAAGGGAAATACAGGAGTTTAGGGAGGAGATAACAAAAACCAGTAGCAGAAACACGGACCTCCAGAATTGACTGGAGGAAGCAGAGAAGCGCATCAGTGACTTGTAGGACAGTCAAGCAGACTTTTAACAAACGCGAACAAAAATCCAATAAGATCATCAGAGAAGTTAAAGAAAACCTAAGAGCTATGTCCGATGGTATGAAGCGGAACAACATTAGAATTATTGGCTTACCGGAGGAAGACATAACAAAGAAGTCATCTGCAACAATCATGAGAGAATTCTTGGAGGAAATCTTCCCCAACTTAATGAATGAAAACTAGGAGGCTGAGGAACACCAGCTAGACTGAATCCCAAGAAGTCACCAAGGCACATAATAGTTAAACAAACCAACTTTTAGGAGAAGGAAAAATCTTGAGAGCAGCTAGGGAAAAACAAGCAATGACACATAAAGGTTCCCAAATAAGAATATGCTCAGCTGATAAGCATCTGCAATTCCACCTGCACACTTAATCATTCCTTGCCACAGAACCTAACAGTTTCACAGATTCTGGGAATTAGGACGTGACCAACTATGGGGATTGTTGTTCAGCTTTATTTCCCATTAAGCTCCTTCTCCGGCGCGCGCGTATGCGCACACACACACACACACACACACACACACACAGACCTCTCCTGGCTGTGCCATTCCCTTCACATCATAGCATAAGTTGGGTTAGAGCCTAGAGTCACCCCCTCCCCCCACAAGGTCAGTTGCCACTTCCAATTTGGCCTCAAAGGGACTGGAAAAAGGAGGGCACAGAACTAGGGGAGGGCTCTGGCCTGTTCCTATTCACTGGGGCCCAGATGTGTTTTTGTTGGTGTTTCAAACTGAGCCTCCATATCTGTCACTTCTTTCCTTCTGAGCTGGCAAGCTCGGCGCTGAGGCAGAGCTGTGATATTCACATTATGATGAGTTACATCGTCTGAATATGTCACAGACAGCTTGTGTGCCCAGAAGAGGGAAGTAGGGGTGGAGAATTTAGTCACTGAGGGCAGTGATCATGTCCCCCGACTTCACTTTCGAGCATGCTCCTCTCCTTTCGCACCTTGGGGACCAGTGGCCCGGTGTCTCCCAGAGCAGGGTCCCAATGATGGACTTCTTCCCCAAGTAGGAACTTGCTGAGATGGCTGGGTCAGCAGAAACCCCAGTTGGAAAGAGTCAGCCAAACTGACCACGCAGACACTGGAGTGCTGGGTTATGGCTGTGAGGGTCAGGGCCAAAGACTCGGACCATGCAGTCAAACCCAGCTCTTCCAGTGTGGGGTCTGCACTCAGTTCTTCCTGGCTCTGAGG